TTGTTAAACACAAGTAAAACTTTGGAGAGCCTTTGGTGTTGCGATGGACTCTTTATTCTCACGCCATCTTACGCTGCAGCAGCTTAAGCTCAATCTAGCAAATGTCTGATGGGAGGAGGGCAGCTTGGTTTTTGCAGTGGGGTACCAGTCTTGGGCTCAGCTGGTCCACGACATTCCCGCAAGGTAAAATGGGACGTCACAACACACTTCAGGATCAGGCCAAAAGCCAGCCTAGTTCAGCACCTTTGTCCCTCGCAGTCGTTAACTGGGGAGACAAGGAAGGGCTGGTGGCAGTCCGTGAGCCTGGATCAGGGGTCCCAGGCTTAATTGCTGCCCCCAGAGACCCCAGGGCAGAGCCTGAGGGCTGCACCATGTGGCTGCTGCTTAGCTACAGGCATTTTAAAGATGCTGAGAGACTGAGGTGGTCTGGGGAGCAACAGGCAGCTGTGGAGATACCGAGGAGGCAGGAGGATGTCTCTGCCTGCCTGCTCCATGCTGTAGCCTTTTTTTCCTCAGCTAGAAGCCCCCAATTGCAATCTTGCCTTGCTCTGCTCCTTGGATAATTCTGCTTGCTGTTTTCTACGCTTTTTAAAATTCTGCAGTGGGTGTCAGAATGCCAAACTCTGCTTAAGAGTATTTGCAGGACTGTTTTGGTGTGAAGCCATTCTGAAAGTGGCAGTTTTATTCTCAGCAGTAGTTCTTTCCGTATCATTTCCATTGTGGAATCTGCCTCCTCTCACAGCATCTGCAAAGAGGGTCAATCATTTCATTGAGTTATTCCCGGGAACCCCAAAGTTGAACTCTGGCTGCCAACGTGGACCCCATCACTGTATGTGTAAAACTGGGATCTTTTCCCCAGTGACTCTCACTTTAAATTTGCACTGACCTTATTTGCAGGTCACCCAGCAGCAGCTGCTGTTTCTTGAAAGCCTGGAAGAAAGAGACGCTCAGTTCTTCCATGGCCAGAAGTTGCCAGAAGAACAGTAATACAAGTAGGGGAGATTTCCTGGTCTGAGTTCTAGATTCTTCACAGCTGATGGACACATCAGTAGTTCTTCCTTGGTCACTAGTGGCTCTGGAAGGCAACAAGGTAGAGTTTGCAAAGAGCTGCTGAAAGAAACTCACTGAATGTGGAAGGAGTCCCTCTTCCAAGTTTGGTTGCTTGAGGGGAGACAGCTCTCCATCCAAGTTTCATCTTGGAGCCTGACATTTTGCCAATTTTTGAGACAGGGATTGCTCCTTCCCCCTCTGTACTCTGGTCTTGTAAAATGGGTCCTCCAGTAGGTATGTGGCTAAGAGAAAATTGGGATGCTGCAGTTTGTCCTCTTCCTGTAAAGTGGGCACTCATTAGAACAGTATGAACATCATGGGGATGAAGAGAAGGTCTTTTTCTAGGAACTGCTACATCTCCAGCACAATAGTGAATTATCTCCCGATATCTCTTCGGATGAATGGATTGCCTCAGGGCCTGAGTCTCTACAGGATCTCCAATACTCACCATGAAAACAGGTGTGTGGGAGAAAATCTTTCTCCCATCCACATGCATGAAGACCTATTCACCTACTTATGACCTCATGCTCCCTAAAGAAGCTATGCAGTCCCAGCCACTCAGAGGTTTCCACCCTTGTCCTAAGAGCACAAAAGTCACTTGCCAGCCCAATGGACACTTGTTATGCCCTTACTTCCATGACAACATGGATCCAGTGCAAGAGCGCAGCCACGTTGGGGTAAACCTGCGATTGCTGTGGTCCTGCGTGCTGACAAAATGGGAGCTTTCTGCTGCTGCCCTGAAGAACCCAAGAGGTAGGTCTGGTTCATTTAATCTGGGAAAGGGAACAATTTGGGGCTGGTACTCTCACTGCAAGAGTAAATGTCCAGGTTTAGCAAGAATGGTTCGTTTCTGGGAAAAGAATGTACTTGGGGCCATTTTGCTGGGGTCTTGGAGAAGGTGCATTCCAGAATTACGTTGGTCTTCTTGTGAGAATACACTTGCTTTTGTTTTTCTCATATTATGTTTTTCTGGGTGTTCTGAATGCACAGGCGGTTTTTGAAAGATTAAATTTTAACTCCTCTCAGCAGATGGCAGTGCCTGGCCAACTTCAGCTGATCTCAAGAAGCTAATCTTGGCCAGGCAAAGAAAAGTAAAGCTGTAGGCTAGTAAAGAACAACAACAACACATTTTGGAAGAAGGCAATGGTAACACACACACCCCCTAAAGTTGTCTTGGTTCACCAGGAGCCCAGCTCCCATCAAAAGCATCTTTACCTTTCATATCTGGGGTTCTTTGTTCTTAAGTTGTTACATCTTCTTTTCAGGAGCTTTGGCACTTGGGGTTATCCCATCAGCAAAGTCCAGCCTTTAAGAACTGGAAATGCAGTTGGGTGGCATCTAGGCTTGGGATATCCTTCCTCTGAAGGTTCAATTGGTGCCAACACTAGTTTTGTGAGTGGGGTGGAGGTAGCAAGGAATGTAAATTGGGACCTAGAGTTCAGTCTAGGTTAATGGTGGGAATTTTTCTCTTTTGGTCCTCGCTGACGGTTGTGTATTTCTAAAACAAAGATGATGTATATGTTCACTATCCTGGAATGGTTTCACAACAAAGTGTTGGGAAGGGAGTGGTTATAAGTCAATAAAGCTTTCCGCTGTTGAGCCAGAAATGTAGTGAGAAGGCTTTGCTGGGTACTGAACGATTAAAACAAGGTGTTTTCAAGTATCTGCAGGAGGTGGGCAAATTAGAGGCAATAAATGGGAAGGGTGGAAGAGCAGATTCAGGTCACCACAAAGAAATTTTCAGACCAGTCTTCCTGAACAGTCTGCTCAGGAAGTGGCCGGCTCTTTGCCTGAGGTATGGGGGCGGGGGGGGGGGGTGCCCTCCGCCCCTTGGCTATCTGTTGAGCAAGGGGCGGGGTTGGTGGGATGACCCCCTAAATCCCCCCCTAGGGTCTTTAATAAACCCCACGCTCAACTATCTCCTTGGAACGCCATACTACTTGCTCCCTCCCGTCCGGT